TGTGGAAGGTATTCAGGGATTCCGCGTTCACACAGCTTCGAAATGCATTTCATCGCCTTAGACTTGATAGGAAAAGCATAAAGGTTTATCATGAAGATTGTTTTGCCCAAAATGGCAAAACAGTATACATATTATTTAGATAATTTACATAATCACAATAAACTGAGGAAGTGAAGAGTAATAAGTAAGTGAATTTGTAAACCGCTGTTCATTATTCTTCAACTTCCGGACAACAGCTTTCAAACTAATTTATTATCTGAAACAATCTCAGCAGTGATGCGTTAAGCAGACCAGGATTTATGACACGATGGCAGAATTTCGATGAGATTTTGCAGTCGACAACGTCCACAAATACCGGATTTTATGTTTGCACAAGTGTGTTCATGGTATGTATACAGGTTGTACTCAGCTGACTCAGTTAATACTCAACGGCAAGTACAAAACTCTTGTATGTGCAGTTGAGAAGATATTTATCTTCACTTTGATAAAATGTCATCAGGAAAATCGAAATCCACTCAGAAACCTTGTACACATTCGTGCAGTAGACGATGAGCTTGACCCATTGCATGAAGACTAATGATACTGACCAACCACCGAAGACTCAGTAGGTGGTGTGGAGTGGAAACTTGTGACCCATTGATTGATGGTCAACTGCCTAAACTTATGGGTCACAGCCTCACAGAAATAACAATGCAACAGATGTTTAGCCGTCAAAATTCACTAGTAAGCTGAAACATGTACTTGATATTGATTGTCATGTTAATTAGCTTACTGAATGCAAATGAAGATTGCCTCATATTCCATAGATGCTAGATGTATCACTTTCAAGACAGTAAAGGATATTTCAACTGAACCTTGCTGTATAGGTTAGGTAACAATGAAGTCAGAGTTGGGAGGTATGTTCGGGAAGTCAACTACTCGGCTCTTGGACCTAAGATCTCAGAGAATGTTACATTTTCAAAGAAGATATACCACTCCTTTGAGAAAACGTCGCCTAGGAACTAGGTTTGTGAGAGCAGTTTGCAGGTGCATTTTATCCCAAAGTTTACATGATAATGCAAAGAATACAAATTCCACTGTGAACAAAATACTGTCGATTTGCTTGAAACATAATGCGACATTGAAAGGAGGAAGGGAAGATTGATTATCAACGCATAATAGATCGACTATTCGATAACAGTTGCTGAGAGGAAATGATTGTGAAAAGTATGAACATAAAACGTATGAGGCCTGTTCCATCAGTCAAGAGAATAAGCACTCAGAATATATATATATATATATATATATATATATATATATATATATATATATATATATATGCAGTCAATGACAAAACAGTCAAGAGAAACAGTCAATCACAAAGCAGCTTGTCAAGCCAAGCTACTAAATCACTTACGGAGAGATATTCGCAGCTCACTCAATACTCAAGTTAGTGCTGAAGGTGTCATCTAGAAATACTATGAAAGCTCCAAGACTAAACAACCAAGATCAGAGAACACAAAAAAACCAAGACTCAGAATATACCGCTTGCAAATGGAACTGGAGAACACAGGGAAATCTGAACAGACTTAACCAAACATTGCATATACAGTATCTGAAAAACTAGGTTGAACTAAGACATTTCAATAAGGTGACGAAAGTAAAATCAGCCTAAGCATAGTCTAAAGACTCAATAATCGAAACCACTAGTTGAAGAACCAGCAGACACAAACAGTGTCAGATTTCATAGTTAAAGACAACGAAATACGTGATTCAACAAGTGTATTTTTCCAGGCACTTCCTTCGAATGCTATGTGAAGTAAACAAGAAATTTTCGATCATGTTGCTTTCATATGCCTCAAATTGAAATGACAACACAAAATATGAGCTGCTCATTTAGTAGAACACTTATGCTAAGACCTGCTTGTTACAGACCGTCCGTTTGCGCCATGTAGGTGTTTGAATGATAATACCACATTCTGTATGATGAACTTTGAATCTTTTCACTTGAAACGAGAAGGTCATCTGCCAACTATCCCACCAACGATGGCTAGTGTACAGAATTAGGTAGGTATAAACTATGTGGCGTTGACAAAGTTATCTCTATGTTATTGACGATAGTTTTGCCCACTCATCCAATAGAAGTGAAATGATGAATAAGCCACCTAATGCCTAAGTATTTTGGTCACTAAAAAGTGAGGCAATAATTGTTTGATGTTATTCTAGCTTCGAAGCATGTTCTATTACATTTCATAGCCAGACTCACTGGCCGCATCGACACTTGCTTCATAAAACTTTCGTCAAGCAGCACGTCATGAAACGTTTAAAGACAAGCTTCGAAGCACGAAGTACATGGAATGATTATCATACTTATCCTGAAAGAGGAGTCTCTACTAACTTAAAAATCGAAGTGGCGCTCAAATCGCTGACACTGAAAATTCTGTCCCCACTTCAACCCTTAACTTTTTATTCAAACTGTCTTCTTATCATCCTTCTTAAGGTTCGCTTAATCTTGAAACACTCGGCATACTAACCGCCCTTCGATGATGCTTCTGACACACACAGTCTGAATAGGATTTTTCATTTTGTAAAATCTTTCATTTTGAAAATTGTCAGCATTTTGGTAATGAGACAGTAATGAGAGAAACACGTTGGTACTATTCTCTGACGTCATCAACACTTTCAGATGGACAAAGTCATCTGATTTGAAGATATTCCATTTGTCATAGTCATGAAGAGAAAAAGATGAACTAATTTGTGAGGAAGCAACACAGACGTCATTTCAGCATTTATAACAAGAGTTACATGGAAAATGTCAACTTTGCAGGCACGACCATGACTCTTTGTGAGCTGAAACCTATCATCACTTGACAAACTACATGACCCGATCTTCATTGCCATTTGACCCCGTTTATGCATGCGGCTTCATGATGCCACAACTCTTGTCCACTTGCATAAGTGTGAAGTCTAACATTGAAGTCCAATTCATCAATCAGATCTACAGTATATTGTGTAGTATCACCTGGAAACGTTTCATCTGTGGCATGGTTCCTATATGTCTGCAAAATATGTCTTTCTCTAGAATTCTCAAATTTCACTACATCCGTTTGTTGTTTGTTGAAGGTGACATGGTCACGTGGATTTCGGATGATCCATTTATCTACCAGGTGAGTGAACTGATCAAAATTTGAAGAGTGGCTGTATTTCTCTATGCATCTCAACCATGAGAATAGTTTGGTTCTCTTTCTGAAAAGATTACAAGCGACTCATTTTTATTTGAGGCCGAATTTCGGTGTTAAGCTGAACCATTATGGGAACAAGTTCATTGTATGACACAGCACGTTTGGCAAGAACATAACATTTGTTTGCAGTTTAGTCGAAGCATGGCAATTAAAAATTGTCAGACTTGGTGGGAAGTTGAGATGCAATTATCTGTCAATCGAATATGTACCACTCGTGGAAAAGAATTTAAACACCAATCAATTGAACAGATTCCATTGAATTCAATGAGACTTAAGATTTTAGTACATTCTGAATATCGAACCTTAATTAAAACAAAGAACAGGTCGATACTCAAGCAACTGTTACAGAAATGTGCTTATCAGTCTGAAAATCTGAAGGCTTTACGGTCCCGCAGTCATGTGCCAGGTTGATACTAACTTTCAAAGAAACTAGTCGTTGCGCTGTTGTGATAAGTGAGATGTAAACAACCATTCTATTCAAGCGAATCAGGAAACCCAGTTCTCGGTTTATGATCAATTTTCTTGTAGTTCGTCGAGTACACTATGTTCACAAACACCGTGTTTGCACAACTGAAAATAATTCGAGTAGAGCTATTTCTCATTAGTTTAGGCAACTGACTTTCAGTCAGTAGATCACGCGTTCGAGATCCACTGCACCTACTAACGTTTAGGCAGCCAGGTAGAATCGTCGCCTCTCACACAACAAATGTAGCGTATAGCCTTCCGCAGGAATGTGCAAATGATTGCTTAGTGTACTTCGATTTCGAAGAACTAATTCATATGCTCCGGGTGACTAAGCAGAAGATGATCCAGTGGTAAAGGATTAAGGCAGAGTGATGCTCACGTAGTTGAGTACACCTGATTTCCCCCTAAATTTAATGCTGACAACCACTTCTTGATGGATTCATAGACTAAAATTAAGATCCTACGATACCTACTAATTGTAAGAATGTAAGCGGACTGCATTTATCAAATTGAATGCACAAAAAGAGTCCTACAATGGCAAGCTGAGCAAGGGACGTCCCTTTCAAGTTCATTTTTGTAGCTAGCTTTCTGTACATTAGCACATAAATACTACTTTTCCATGATACGATCACTGTGTTTGATGAAATCTGACAATGATGTTTTACTGTTATTGCTGTCAAATTGATAACGGTTGAAACACTACGATGAAGTTTGTCAGACTAAAGTGATATTGCATTGACATGAGCAAAAGTCATGAATCTTGCCTGCAGTAGCAATATCAATTTAGTTTAGATTCTCTTCTCATTCACATTTTACTTCCAACTACAAACATCAACCTCACCTTTATGAACTTCATTACTTCCAAAGAAGTTTTTCTAATGACCTAATTCAATTTGCAGTTTAATTAACTGAACGAAATGATTCACTGTCAGGCTTAGGTGAGATTCTCACACAACTAACTAGATTTCTGCTTCTTCCCTCCATAAAAGTCTTCCAATAATTGTCAATATTAACAAAGGATAATTAAGTACTCAAAACACTATTCACTCCAAAGCGGTCAACCAACTGAATGCCTACAAAAGGTTGAGTTACTCAGAGTATATATCAAAAATATAAATACTTCAATCGGTGTTTATTAGTGCTGGTAGCGCTTTTTTCTGCATGCTTTCCTGAAAATTCATTTAGAGCAAAGAATATATTCAACAGCAAATTAGAAACTGGTGGAAAGACATTAAATTGTAAAATTGTGAAAATTTTTAAAGGACCTGTTTCAATCCAATAAAAGATAGTATTTGAAGGTTTAAGATATACACTGAATTTCTTCTTAAAGACCAGTAGAATTGGCAACTCATCAGCTGAATTGGCTTACTGAAATATTTTGTAGACGAATAATAATGCACATTACAAGAAGTATGAATAGGTACCTTGTCAAAATAAGTGCAATAATAATTGTTAGAATTCATATTTCGCTTGTGTATCTTCTAGAATGTTTTGTGAGATTATGGAGTCCATCTCAGTTTTCGGCCATTGCATCCATCATTCCACCACCTAGATACTTCTGGAACCCAGTAAGGCCCAAACATCGGAGATGTGTGTGCTAGTAAACACATAGCGCATTGAGGCTGGGAATCCCAGTCATGAATAACACCATGGCCATGCACGCAAAGTACTCGTTGTATGCAGTATCATTTTTATCCAAGTACAACAGATATTTTGCAAGCTTTTCTGGTGATTCGAACTGATCCACATGAATAAAAGAGTATGGAGGAGAAACTCTTTCGTATTCTTCAATTGAAGCTCCCATCACAACTGGAAGGATGTCGTTGCTTGAAAGGATATGAAGGAGTAGAACTTCAGTAAACATTTACTTATGTGACAAATTGAGAGAATTTCTTGTGTAGCAAACAGTACCACATTGCAAAGAAGTAAAGCATTACAGCAAGTAAGACATTGGTTCATTAAGGTGGTAGCTGCATCACTGGGAAATCACTTTTACCAATCGATCTATTTGAGTAGGACTTCTGCTCTTCCGTTTCATACTGCTTGACATTTTGAACATCATGCATAGCGGGTCCTTCCATCTAACCACTAAATATTGCTTGTGAATTCGTTAGTGTAAATTTTCTAGTTATAAATAGCTCATAAATATCAGCTGACTTTGGACTTTTATTCATAAAACACACTAATGATGTAGTTACCAGTTTCTGGACGAATTACCCTCAATACATATGGTGCTTCATCTTATTATAAATCTTCAAATAGTATAGTTTCATTATGGAGAACAGTTTCATCACTAATGTACATACCTATAGTAGTTTCTTGCATTTCAAATACTCCATTGAATGCTGTCTGAACTCTGTATTCATTTACACCACACTCATTCTCTGTTACTAGTCTTCGAAGATGCTGAACTGCAGCGATTACCTCTTACTTACTTTAGTCGTATTCACCTTTCATTCGATACTCATTATGTTGTCCACTTTGTCAATCTTGTTTCCAATTACCTGCAAAGTCTGGTTGACTGCAGGTAATTTCAACTATCATTTTGACTACTGATGGTTGATTCAGTCGAGATATCAGCACACACAACCAGAGTTTATTCATAAAAGTTATCGCCATAGAACATTTGTGTATTGTGGAGAGAATCAATTTATTATGCATAAACTGCTAACAAACATCTACACACAGTCATTTGTTGCTTTCACTCCATTGTAACATGGTGAGCAAAACTACTAGCCGTGACCACAGCAATCACTGGAATTTGTTCAAAATACTTGCTCATCTCTACCACTCACTCAAATATCCTGTTCGTCCAATATGATATCGGGTCACTAACAACCTAGAATTTGATATCCAACAATGAGCAACACATGGCATGAGGTATAAAGTAACAACATCCAGCTAGTCAGCGCTTTATTGGAGAAATGACGTCCTAATCCACAAGATAATCGTTTGGAATTTATGTATGATTACATGCAAATAGGATGCTTCACATGCATCAACAGTTAAGATGAACACTTCTCAAACACTGTCATAATAAGTTTGTTAAACACTTACACCCAACAAACTGGAATGAAAGTACAGTGTAGTGATTCAGTTAAGCCTAGTTAAACAGTAGGAATTAAATCTCATCAAAATTGCTTACCTCAATGCATTCCTGTAGAGCTTCTCTGTTATGTATTCACTGCACAAACTATTTTCAAAGCTTAAGTAGAACTTGTAATTTTCCCGAATTACAGTTAAGCATTCAGGTGTTGAGGCGAACGTTCCCATATTCTTTGGACATACCATTGTACCACACCTACCATATATGTCAACCTGTGTAGAAGATGAAGTTGATACGCTATGAGTTTTTCACGGAGGTTACTTCGGTTGTCATGACCTGATAACAGTTGTCTGACTTACTTGAAACTTTATTCCACAGCTATGTTGATAATACTGATTTAAACAACTGTTGCACACTATGTGGTCCCAAATTTTTACCCTTCAAACACTCTTGTATTTTCATAGACCTTCTTCGTATTATCCAAAGAGAACATAAGTTTATCAACCATCTGAGTGTGTTTCCAGCTTCAGTATCACCGATCAGCTCATGTATTGTGTAGCCTGTAAGTTGTTTACAAACCAATATCCAGGGTTGATTGCTATTGTCAAGTAACTAATTATGGTGAGAGATGCCACTCGTAATACTACAGGTTTTTACTTTATGAAGTGGAACTTCTAGCAAACACTGGTGACAGATATTTATCCACAGGTTCGCACATTGTAAAGACTACATATAGCTTGACTATCAGTTAATGATGTCAACAGTTTCTCAGTTACACTGAATACTGAACGATGGCAAGGACATAAGGCCTGTGAAATAAGTATGCGGTTTGTATATAACTCTAGTCATGCGAAACAAATTATCATTACTACTCATCGACTTCAAGTCACAATCCTCTACCAGGGAAATTTGGCAAGTTCAGGTTGGGAAAAATCTCCAACAGTTCAGCTGCATATGAATTTCAGCAACCTTGTAGTTTTGAGAAGTGAGATGATGGAGTGAGAGTGGTCAACACCGATGCACAATATCCTGTATGCAGATTAACACATTTGCAGTCCTCACACAATCATGTTGATTGTGCAAATCCTTTGACAGGCATAAACAGTTTGTCTCCTCATTTCATTCAACAAGTACTCGATAGTAGAGGCGAACTCGTGATGGTCATACTTATATCGATCGTATTGTTTGAGCATGACAACCTCAAATTATAGGAATAAATACAATGACGTGATAAAATGTTTAGTTTTCGTAAACAGACATAGTTATCATTGCTGCTTTTCTACCACAAAGTGCTGGGTACAAACTTGACATTCTTAGTTCGGAAATTGTCCAGTGTAGTTGATTCGCCTATCTAACGTTTCCAAGAACTGCCAACATGCTGACGGTAGAGCAAAGAAGTCTACCAGTAGACTCCATGCCAGTTAATTATTCACTACACTCAGTCTCCTTCCTAAACTAACTTTTCGAAAATCAGCAGCAATCTTTCTTCTAATAAATTAATCCGGTATTCACGTCAGAATATGTTGATTGAAAAATTTGAGTCAGTCTGGAAAGTAACTGAGAGTAATAAAGCAAAAAGAGGGATGGATAACTTGTTCAAGAAGACTGAGGTGCTGCGAATTCCGAGGTTATTTTGTATCTGTTATATGGTCGTCGTGAATAAATATTACAGCGATTTTTCTGTTTGACGCTTAAAAGTACCACTTAACAAGGATCGGGTATTACAATATCCACATTCGAATATTATCCCCCTGATGCAACAGTGACTACGTACCTATAAATGAGAAGAAAATTTATCTACATCACAGCTTTGTCTGAACAATTCAGGAGGAAAGTCTCTTCTTTTATCTTATGAAACAGAGGAGTTCACCCTAAACTTTATTTTATTCATCGTCACTCCAGTGCTTCGGGACATTTCGACATCTCTCTAGTAGTGAATCGCCACTTTCCGTTTTTCCTCTCCACACTTCTGACATTTTGAAATGTGCTATCCAAGATCTATGTGAGCTATAACTGAGAGTCTTCAGCTGTCGGAGTTAACCGAAGAATACGTGTTGCTTATATTAACGGTTTTCCATTGTGGTCTAGTTTCATAAATATTCAAAGTGAACATCGATAGAATGATACAAGTTAGAGCAGGTGCATCTTGTTCTTATATCACAATGTAACAGAATGTATGTGACAGTCGTCTGATGATAGAAGTTTGATGCATGATATAAAAAAACCGTAGTTCAATGAAAATTAATTATGAGTGAACAAAATCCATCTTCAATGTGGAGGAAATCAGCACCTGAGAAAACATTTAGTTACTTACAGAAATATATCGTGACAATTCTATGGCATACACCATTCTAGGACTTTTCGGCACACAATTACTAACAAACCAAGCCACCTTTTTAGTTCTGCCAGCTGCAAAGTTGCGAGAAGGAAGTGGATACCTTGTATTCGATCCATGAGTTTCTATATAAGGTTCATAATAACCATATGGTGAATGAATTGTTGAATCGAAGCGGAAAGATATGGTAAAGTTCACCTGGTTGTGGGAAGTAAAACAGTGGAGAAGTGAATGATATGAAATGAGTGCCAAATATCTAGCCTTCAGCTCAATGACTACCTGTTACTTACGATTTACATATTCATAGCGTGTAAAGTGCACAACGCTGATGATAACTCACTGTGCTTCCAGCTTCTAGTTTCAGTAACATCAAACGAATTATTATAACTGCTTTGATGTTTAACAGTGGTAACCTACCGCAATAAGGGCAATGTATCATATTCCAAAATGGCTCCACAAGCGAATAAAACCGCCTGACCCAAATGACACTGAAAAAAAGCGTCCGACATCCTCACTACTTAAACATACCATTGAAACGGTATATAAAATAAATGTACAACGTCGTTTAAGCCCATCCACTGAATACGTCAAGTACGTATTTCAAATTTTGTTGAGGTATTAGCCGTTGGGATACGTTAGCCACCATGTTTTCAGAAACAATTTGATATCTCAATAAACTTTCGGTGAGAAATTTGACTTTGTATTATTAGTTTTCTTACTACTTTACTGATCTCCATTGCTTTTTTGACCTTCAATATAGTCATCTCACCTAACCGATATTCATCTCCTTGCCCTTTTAACTTCATTTTTTTTCACATCAACGTCAATGAAAACTATGTATAGCTTGGTTGCTACATTGCAAATATGACCGATAGAATTCAGTTTGCACTTAGGACTAGACAACATGAAATTAGTTGCACTCCCGTGACCAATCAATACATGTAAGCCAGTCCCACAGGGGGTCAATCACGGCCCGAATATCTTAGTGGTAAAGTCTCTATCTACAACACTGGGTGACGCGGGTTCGAATCTAAGGCGGGACATCAGTTCCGTCGAGGTTGCAGATACGCCTTGCTGACAAGTGCTAAAAAGCACGAAATCCAGGTCCAGGGCTTCCTGCCGATTGCCTCTAACCAACTAACAAAGTATATGTGTGTTCAGACTGTTCGAAACGTGTCACACAAATACACTTTACGATTCAGACGAATTACGTTTTCATGCAATTACAATACTTGTGCTCCCTGCATCACTCCAGATTACCAGTTCTAGCTAATCTGACGTGAAGATTAAATAATCACTATTCCCTTCCAAATCGGTACATTCGGTGATGCAAGCAAGGTCCAGCATATTTCAGTTAATTCGAAATCCAACTTCTCAAGCACTATACCTTCACTGTATGGAATTTAGGTATGGTTACCAAAACACAACTGGCTGGTTAGTTCGGACTTTGAGTTCTTCAAAGCCTTCTTCTTGGTCAATCTTGATACCTAGTTAGATAGTAAACTACAAATCAGTTGAAAATATACAAGACTAACTGCCTGAACTATAAGTCTATAAAATGTTGATTAGTGAGTACAAATTGATTATTTTTAGAAGGTAATCCATAGTTCAGGGAGATATTTTGTGAATCGAAAAGTGTTTCGAAGGATGAAGAAATATTTTGATAATGTTAAACTTCAATTGTTTTGGGATTACCGCTAAACTCCTCTTCTTAGCCCATTAGCTGGCTGCCAGTCAGACTTTTCAAACAGACGGAATAACTGGTAGAAGTTGAGTGCCTGGTCTAATTTAATCATTAGAGAAATATATTTTGATATAATTCCAGCGTGTTTAGAAAATTCAAACAAAGTAACTCTGAACGTTTCACTGTGTAAGCTACAGCTTCTTCAGCAGAATATCATATTTCCATATACGATACTGATATTCTACTCAAGAAGTTTTGACTTACGCAGCAAAACGTTCGGAAATATCTTGTTTTGACTTTCTAAACAAGCTGGGATTATTTTACATCATATTCTGATAGCCACCACATGCAACACTGATGAGGACATCAAAGCCAGGATCGGAAAAACAGCAAGACATGCCTTAATTAATCTGAAATCAGTGTGGAGAACTAATGTACTGCACTGTATTCAGCATAAAGCCTGAAAAAGATGCAGGTTTTCAACACAAATTTCATTAGTGTCAGTGCTTCTATATGGTTCAAAAACTTGGCGCGCCACAAAAAGCATTTCCAACAAACTACAGACATTTATAAACACCTGCCAAATACCCTCATTCGATACTGAATTTCAGATGGCCAGAATAATAACGATAAGCAACATGGAATTCTGGCTGACTGACTGACTGACTAACTGACTGACTGACTGACTGACTGACTGACTGACTGACTGACTGACTGACTGGCAATGAACCAACCAGGAACCCATCGCCCAACAGTATGCAGAAGAAAGTGGGGATGGATTGGATTGGGCATACAGTGAGTAGACCATTTGGGGACACCACGCGTCAGGCCAGCCAGGCCCACAAGTGTAAGCAAAATGGGAAACGATGAGTTGGGCGTCCGTGTCGACGGTGATATGGAGTAGGTCGTGAGAAGAAGAAATGAAAGGTTGTTAGTAGTGGTGGGGCCAGGTTGAAAAGACTGCAGACAAGACAGTGAAATGACGACGTGCTACTGAAGCCCTGTGTTCCACTAGGAACAAAAGCGAGAAATAAGAAAATAATAATATACTGGTAGCTGAAGTAACTGCTGAGAAATAACAGTTTCCCTTATGAGGTTTCGATCCTGCATTAGAAACCATATGGATCAGTCGACAGCTTTCAATTTGAGTGAGCTCAGGAAGAAATAATGGGTCGACGTCGACAACAGAGAATGATGGAAGTCTGCCAACTCAGTTTTACAGCAAAAGAAACAACAATATTTTGCTTAGAATTCTGTCGTATGCAGAGGAAATTTGGTTTTCACTGCTTTTCAACCACAACATGGTTTTATACATTTGCATGCTGAGTGACCGTAGAAATAAGTATGCTTCTAATCTAAGACAATTATACGCTAAGCAAACACTGACTGTTCAGCATAACTAACCTCATTTTTCAATTGGCTTGCAATCGAAATATGTACCGGGGATTCATGTATCAGAGTAAACCACAATTGTCCTTGTGGCCGTACACCATTCGGCAACTTATCCTCTGTCAGTATAACTGCATCAGCTTCTTGCCATTTGGCCATATCACTAATGACATCACACTCAGAAGCATGACAGTAGGAGAAATTCATTGGTGTGAAAATTGTCCTCTTTCCATAGTTGAGAAACCTTTTCACCTAGAACATGAAAGTGTCGAAAAGAATATTATGATAATCAAGTATGTTTGGTTCTAAATGCTGTTTCAAATGATTATTGCACATATTGAGAATAGAGCACAAGAATTACAGTTTCTGAGTGCGTAATATAGTATGTTTCGTAGCTGGATGAGTTGGTTTTGAATAGGCTACAGTTTGTACACTAGTAGAAAGTTTGCCTAAATAGCACTTAAGTGTTGTATAAAAAGGACGGTCTCTTGAGTTTCAGTTAAATTATTATTATCATTACTATTTGTCCCTTGGGTTCCTGGTGGAACATAGGGCTTCAGTAGCACGTCTCCAGTGCGCCTTGTTCTCTGAAACTTTTTGAACCTGGCTTCATGACAGTCCACAAGCTCTCATTTCATCCTCGCACGATCTCCCCCATGTCACCCTCTCCTTGGACGCCCAACTCGTCGCTTTCCATGGGAATTCCACTCAAGGGCCTGGTCTGACGCGTGATGTCCCCAGTCGGTCTTCTCAGTGTATTCCCAGTCCATCGCCACTTCCTTCTGCATATTTGTTCAGCAACAGCTTCTTGGTTGGTTCGTTCCCAGAGTTCCTTGTTGCTTATTCTTTCTGGTCATCCGTACTTCAGTAACGAGCCAGCGTAGGCAGTTGTTGAGGAGTGTCTGTAGTTTGTTGGAAATACTTTTCGTAACGCGCCAAGTCTCCGAACCATACAGAAGCACTGACTTGACTGGAGTGGTGTTGAAAATCCGGATCTTGTTCCACATGATGAGTTGAGTGTAGAAGATCTCCACACTGGTTTCAGGCTAATGAACACCTGTCTTGCTTCTCTGATCTTGGCTGGCTTTGACGTCTTCGTCTGTGCCGCCTGTAGTTGAAATAGTGCTTCCTAGGTAGGTGAAAGAGGCTACTTCATTCAAGTTTCTCCTCTTGATCGTGATTGATGCTTGTTGTTGTTGTTGTTGCTGGTTGGGTATCTTCACCACCTCTGTCTTCTCTACGTTCACTTGAAATCCCGTCTTCTCTGCCGCACCTCTTCTGTCAACTTGCTAGTCTTCGTCTATAGATCTTCAAGTTTATGCGACATCAGACACAAGTCATCGGCGAAATCCAAGTCTTCTATGTTCTTTTCCGCAGTCCAGCCAGCGTATCCCCCTCTTCTCGCTCCTCACGGTTTGCTGCATGATCCAATCCATCGCAATAAGGAAGATGATCGATGATAGTAGGCAGCCTTATCTTACTTCTGTCTTCACTTCAAAGGCATCACTGAGCTTCTCATTGTGGATTACTTGGCTGGCATGTGGCGTCTTCATATAGTTAGTGAATGACGTTGATAAAGGTTTGCGGTATTCCCTAGTGTTGAAGTAGTTTCCAAATTACTTTTCGGTCGACGCCGTCAAAGGCCTTCTCAAAGTCGATGAAGTTGAGGTGTAGAGTTGACTGCCATTCTATACTTTGTTCTATGATGATGCCAAGCGTTGCCATTCGGTCTGCACATGATTTGTACTTCCTGAATCCAGCTAGCCTGTTCCGGCAGTAGTTTTGAATCCAACGCATCCTTTAGTCTCTCCAAGATGATGAGGCTTAGTATTTTGCTTGGGTGGACAGAAGCATGATTCAGCGCCAGTTCTTGCAAGCCCTCAGGTCACCCTTCTTTAGGAGTTTGATCAGGTAGCCCTTCTCCCAATCTGTAGCTATCCTTCCTTCCTTCCATCCCAACCTTCTGCAGTAGTGGTGTGAGCATGTCCGCTGTTGTCTCTGTGTCTGTTCTCAGTACTTCTGGTGGGATTCCATCTGGTCCTGCTGCTCTCCCGCATTTCAGCGACTTTATGGCTCTCGGGACTTCTGGATTTGTCAGAGGGTTTGTGTTCACTGGTAGTTGTGGATGATTAGCTGGTGCTGGTGGTGGTCGATTCAAGAGTTTCCTGAAGTGGTGAACCCGTCGTTTGCCTCGTCTCTCCTCTTTGATGGTAACTGGCTTTCCTTCACTATGTTTCACTGCTTTCACCTGTGTTTCTCTCCCTGTTCTCACATAGTAACCTGCTTATTGGATACAGTGTTGTCAGGTCTCTCCTACCAGCAGACTGTTCTGCTTCACTTGCAAGTGTGTCGTAGAAGTGTCTTTTGTCTTTGTGCGCACTCTTCTTCAGATCTTTGCCCAGTGTTGTGTTTTATAGGTTGTGTGCATTTCCTCTTTCGTTGCTGATCCCTGTTGATCCCTCTTCTTCTTTCTTCTTCTTCTTCCTTCTTAACACTTATGCAGGTTCCCTTCCACGTCCCTTTCAAAGAGTTCCATTGATATTCCACACAGGTTCCATCAGGAATATTGCTTAATGTCTTCTATTTTATCCTGGTGGCTGATGTGAAGAAGTTCTTTCAGTTTCTGCTCTAGGTGGGTGTTGGACTTGAACTGTGGCCTATCATCACCAACGTCTTTGAAGGCTTTCAACTTGATTTTGAAGGTTCCTTGCACTAGATAGATATTGAGTGGTGTGAACCTATATCTGCTCCTCTTCTTCCTCTTCTTCTTCTTCTTCTTCTTCTTCTTCTGATCTTGAGTCCAATAGGCTGCGTATCCACTTTCGTCAGCTTGAAGTGAATTCCGTCGGACATTTAGTGTGTCCTGGTGTCTGGTGAAATCCATGTCGCACTGCCTCGTGAATATCCTTGTGTTTGTACACACAGACACACACATAATAATAATAATAATAATAATAATAATAATAATAGTACTGTCTGTAATCCCACAACTAATCTTGGCAGTTTAAATCAAGCAATTGTCGATATTGAAAGTGTTTTATATAAAAACTGTGTGGAGCTTAATCAGCATGAGGCAAAATTGGTTGCACTGTTGGAAAGATCAGAAGCAATGGAGAGGAATGTAAGTACTGTTGATGCAATCCATTTCGTTTCGATATATATATATATATATATATATATATATATATATATATATATATATATAATGCATTTGTGCACAAAATTCAAATGTACTTCTGCCTTATTTCAATGACTATCAGTTGTATGATTCTTATAATTGTCTTTAGCTAAGCTCATCTGTTGCACACACTAGCATGTCAATCTGTGAAAGGTGAATATTACACTGACGTTTTGAAAACACCTAGTTGTCAGATGGATTACAATCAAACACCTTGATTTTGTTTGTCTTCAATGGTGTTCCCAGTGTATGCTGCTGCTATAAAACAGGCAAATTCATGGCAGAAATACCGACAATAACCAGACTACTCGGAGAATACAGAAAAAATTAGCTGCATTCAAACTTTTTGGAAGCATCGATTGACTGAATGTATACTTCTCAGCAAATCGGTATTCATCTCCACATTCAACGTGTTTGAGGTTTGCATAACAGTGTACCCCTTGTTGTCTATTCTATGCAAATTCATCTAAACCCCTTAAGATTTTCTCTTTTTCTGAATGAAGTTCGATAGATTAGAAATGCATATAGTTATCCCTTATAAAGATAATGTAAATAATTCCAATAAAGGTCGATCAGTTTGTTCCAACTAACGATGGGATAATGCAAGCAGCATCATAAAGACTACACTCATCTCACAAGGAGTGTCTGTTGTGACTCAGTGGCCTAGTAGATAATGATCTGGGGTTTGAGGTGATTGGTCCTGGGTTCGAGCTTCAGTGGGAACAACATCACTCAATGAGAGGTAGGCACAACCAGCTGACGAGTCCTAAATAGGCCGAAACATGCATCCTGCATTCCATTGTTATTCACTATCCATCATTACTGTAATCTTCAAACTGATATAACACCTACCTACCTAAATAATTTCACATACTTTGTAACTACCGAATATGTTGGTACAACATTTTTACCGACAAGTGACGATAAGTCCCCTTTACAGAATCGTGATTAAAACTGAATTCTGTTATGAAGAGTGCATTCAGAGTTGAAACAAAGAGATTAGGTCATTCTCATCTCTAATAAAATCTTTTTACGCTTTAACAGCTCGTGACCTGAAAGAGATTTATATATATATATATATATATATATATATATATATATATATATATATATATATATATATATACGGGTGTGCTTCATCCTACCGTTAATTAGCACACTCGACTCATCGATCGTTTCTACTTTCGGAAATGACAATCAAATCAATGTCTGTATAGTCTATCTAACATTATCAACTGGAGCTTACGTTTTCTATTTATTCATCTGATACTGGGTGATGGATGATTGAAGGGGGAAATGAAAATTTGACCCGTAGCAGGATATGAACTAGCGACCACCGTAGCCCAAATTTTCATTTCACCATCAATCACCAACCAGTATCAATACAAGTCTGCTAAACCATGGCGATCTCAGATGGTCACAATGATGCTTGATTCAACATTTATGAGAGATGACTTATTCATTTGTTCAACTGCTGCTTCCATAGTTGGCTTTATATCAAGTGGAGCAATTCAAAATGTGCACGCTTTTGTATACATGAGGTAGGGTGACAAGCTCACAAATAAATGACTACATGGTTCCAAAAACATTTCACATATGAGTCAAATTTGTAGTAAGGGCTTTCATGCAGATTATCAATGCTGTGAGTCACATTGTATATTATTTTCTTTTTCCAGGAAATGCTTTCCGTCTAGCAACGGAAAATTACAAGTGTTAAACAAAAACTGCTAACCGTTTCATAAGAGGTGGCAGTCTTGTCACAGTGTCCTAGTGAATAACAAACACTCTAGTGTTTCGATCGATAGGTACTGGATTCCAGTCTCAGTGGGAACAACATCACTAGCTGGGCTGCATATACATCCGGCTGACGAATCCCAAATAGGACGGGTCGGGTATTCTAGATTCCACTGTCAGTCACGAAGATGAATACAATTATACATAACCCTCAGCATGCTGAGTAGTTAGTTCCACCTAACATTTGGATACCTGTTAGGTGTGCAGTTATTGTGGTATACCTGATTATCTTACGAAATAAACTTTCAAACTTCAGAAATTTACTGGTATGAACGAATTG